CTCCTGTACGGACACTCGTCACATGTGTGGATCTGTGTCCCCTCCTGTACGGACACTCGTCACACGTGTGGATCTGTGTCCCCTCCTGTACGGACTCTTGTTGCATGCGTGGATCTGTGTCCTCTCCTGTATGGACACTTGTTGCATGAGTGGATCTGTGTCCCTTCTGTACAGACATTTGTCACAAGTGTGGATCTGTGTCTCTCCTGCACTGGCACTTGTCACATTCATGGACTTATGTGATCACCTGAGTTCTAGAACAATGCCAAGAGAGGAGACCTGATAGCCTGGTGGTGAGACACTTGGTTGCTCACTGAATGGGTGGCAGTTTTAAACTAGCTCTGGTACTGAAGGAGAAAAATCCTGGCTGTCTGCTCTGCAAGGATTAAAAACAGATCAGACTCAAACTCACTACACTCTCAGCCTTCACTGGCCTTCTGAGGTTGTGCAGTGCAATGGGATGATACTGCTTGTTGCCTGTGGAGCAGCTAGTGGGTTTGAACCCGCAGAGATCACCAGGCTTGCGGTTAGCACATAACTCGCTATGGTCCAAGCCACCAGAGCTCCTCACACATAGAAAACTGGGAAGTGGGTCTGCTCTGTCATATGGGATCGCTGTGAGCCAGAAGCGATGAGGTGACACTGCTGACAAGAGCCAGGTGCTGAGGCTGGAGGAGTGCCTCCAGCTTCTGGTCTCCACCCTCAGATGGCCATTGGGCCCCCAGCCAGGACTTCGAGGGTGACAGAACTGCTCCTGGCCTCTGTGCCTATGCACTGTTGTGACTTTCCTGGGCCACCCTCTTTGCCAAAAGCTCAAATATGTCCCGTTTGACAATAACTTGGTTTAAAACACTGAAAGAGCTGAGGGAGGAGGGAGGTTATCTCCCTCTATAGATTTTTAGGGCCAGCTTTCAGTCGTTTGAATGCTGGCCCAATGAAAGAATTGTGTGGTGGGGGAGCTCCAGGGGAGCAGGTAAGATGAGGTGCCCCCCAGGGGCTCTGGGTGAGAACGGCCCGGCCCCCATCGGTTTTGCCTGCCAAGCACCTCCCGCAGGTGTGCGCTCCCCCCCCCCCCACACCACTCATGCTACTGAGCTAAAACCAATACACAGCAACTCAGGGCTGGGAAAAACATGATCCC